TTCATCCAGCAGGCCAAGCAGCATCAGAGGAGCAGGAAAGCTGACGTTTCGGGTCTAGACCCTTCTTCAGAAATGGGGGAGGGGAATGGGATCCTGAAATAAATAGGGAGAAAGGGGGAGGCGGATAGAAGATGGATAAAGGAGGAGATAGGTGGAGAGGAGACAGACAGGTCAAGGATGCAGGGTTGGAGCCAGTAAAGGTGAGTGTAGGTGGGGAGTTAGGGAGGGGATAGGTCAGTCCATGGAGGACGGACAGGTCAAGGAGGTGGGATGAGGCTAGTAGGTAGGAGATGGGGGTGGGGCTTGAGGTGGGAGAAGGGGATAGATGGGAGGAAGGACAGGTTAAGGAGGCATGGACAAGCTGGGCTGGTTTTGGGATGCGGTTGGGGGAGGGGAGATTTTGAAGCTTGTGAAGTCCACATTGATACCATTGGGCTGCAGGGTTCCCAAGTGAAATATGAGATGCTGTTCCTGCAACCTTCAGGTGGCATCGTTGTGGCACTGCAGGAGGCGCAGGGTGGACATGTCATCCAAGGAATGGGAGGGGGAGTTGAAATGATTCGCGACTGGGAGGTGCAGTTGTTTGGTGCGAACCGAGCGTAGGTGTTCCGCAAAGTGGCCCCCAAGCCTCCGCTTGGTTTCCCCGATGTAGAGGAGGCCACATCTGGAACAGCGGATACAGTATACCACATTAGCAGATATGCAGGTGAACATCTGTTTGATGTGGAAGGTCTTCTTAGGGCCTGGGATGGGGGTGAGGGGGGAGGTGTAGGGGCAGGTGTAGCACTTCCTGCGGTTGCAGGGAAAAGGGCCGGGTGTGGTGGGGCTGGTGGGGAGCGTGGAGCAGACAAGGGAGTCACGGATAGAGTGGTCCCTCTGGAAAGCAGATAAGGGTGGGGAGGGAAAAATGTCTTTGGTAGTGGGGTTGGATTGCAGATGGCGGAAATGTCGGAGGATGATACGTTGGATCCGGAGGATGGTGGGGTGGTACGTGAGGATGAGGGGGATTCTGTTTTGGTTGTTATTGCAGGGAGGGAGTGTGAGGGATGAGTTGCGGGAAATGCGAGAGACACGGTTGATGGCGTTTTCGACCACCGTGGAGGGGAAGTTGTGGTCCTTGAAAAACGAGGACATCTGGGATGTCCGGGAGTGGAACGTCTCATCTCGGGAGCAGATGCAGCGGAGGCGAAGGAATTGGGAATAGGGGATGGCCTTTTTGCAGGACGGTGGGCGAGAGGAGATATACTCTAGGTAGCTGTGGGAGTCGGTAGGCTTGAAATGGATTTGACCAGAGATGGACATAGAGAGCTCCAGGAAGGAGAGAGAGGTATCGGAGATGGTCCAGGTGAACTTGAGGTTGGGGTGGAAGGTGTTAGTGAAGTGGATGAATTGTTTGAACTCCTCGAGGGAGCACGAGGACGTAGAGCTGTTGTGCCATGTAAATACTAGAGAAAGCAAGACCTGACAAGTTGTGGGATGGGGGACAGGGTTGTGTTTTGAGAAAGTGGTGAGCGTGGACTAGAAACTGGGGTAAATTCATCCTTTAGATTAGTGTGTTTCTGATTGGACTTGCTCAGATCCAGGATTAAAACTGGGCTGGAACGTTGGTCTTGCTAATCTAGCACCAGTCCAATGCAGAAACTTCCAGTCATTTGCAGCATCACATCTTGTGGCGCTTATTACTGTTAATGGCCAACATTGGAAGGGCAATGAACCATTGGACAGAATAAGGAACATAGAACAGTAATGTGCAGGAACAGGCCCGCCATGTCTACATCGACCATGATGCCATTCTAAACTAATCACATCTACCTCCATGTGGTCCATGTCCCTTTGTTTCCTGCCTGTTCATGTGTCTGTCTAGGCATCTACCACACTCACCTTAATTCTATGGCCCCTAGTTTTTAACATTTCCACTCTTTGGAAAAATTTCCGAGTATTCATACTACGCATGCCTCTCGAGATTTTATATACAGAGGATGAGCTTGTATTTAATCAGTCTTTTTCATCACATCAAGATTATCAATCACAGTGCAGCCAATTGGCAGTACCATTGTTGTAATGCTGGAAATACAGCAGTCCATTTTTGCATGGCAAGCCCCCAGAAAGAGCTGTGTTTTTACTAGACAGTCTGTTTTAGTGATGTTGCTTATGGTATGAATATTGATGAAGATGCCAGAGAAAGCTCCCCTGCTCTTCTTTGGAACAGTACCATGTGATCTTTTACATCACTGGAGAGGATGGACTAGGCCCTAGTTTAACATTTCACCTAGAAGATCACAGTGCCAATGCATGTCAATCTGGATATTGCACTGTAGCCTCGGGAGTAGGACTTGAACCCACAACCTTTTCCAATCAGGTGTGGCTGCTGCCCACAGAATCCCAGAAGGAAGTAACCTTTTAATCCAATGTTCAGGTCAGTTCTCCCCAGTGGTTAGTGCTGTCCAAAATCATT